CTGCACTTGAGCACCCGTGGAGATCACTCTTTCGATCCAGCGTCCCTGACTTCTGCAGAACAAGTTGATGTCACTGCCCTTCAAAGCGCCTTTCGGGAGGTGCAGAAGTATGGCTCCTAGTACGACCTTAAGACTGGAGAACTGCACCAGAAGAGACCTAAGAGGGACAAAACCACCTATCTTTCCTGGCTGAAGCATTTCTTCAAGGACCTACAACCAGTTGTGGGAGACATCACAGAGGAAAGCTGCGACTCCGTAATTGGGCTGAGCTATCGTGACGACTTGTACCTGGTCACCTTTGTTAGTTATTTTATCTCTTTTTTTGTTCTCTCCAGCAACCCCGCTAAGAGTATCAATCAGTTGGTGTTTCCTTTGGCTGTCAAACTCTGCAGCGGCAATTAGATCCCTCTAGCCCCCCCTCTTCTTAGAGAACTTATACTTCCGCCTTGACCTCATCCATTTGGACATGGTGCGATCCATGGGCCGCTATGATGTATGGTGCTTTGCACACACTCAGTTCATGACTGCTCTTTTCTATGAGATATTTCCTACTATGGGCCCCGTCCCTAAAAAATATGAGCCCATCTTCACCGATGAAGTCCATGATGATGAGGGTTGTCCTGTTCTCGATGCAGAGGGTCGACTTGTCACGAGACAAGTGTGCCAATCCCTCCATCGCATCTATCGGTGGTTCGGCCTTGGCACCAATAGACCTTTTGTGGATTACGTAGACCGCATGGAGGAGGGCGTGTTCCGCCCTTTCACTTAGCTTCTTTCAGGCATTTCTATGGTTCCATTTTATTTTGCTAAGGCTCGTCTTGTTGATTTCTCCCTCAACAGTGTCCAGGCCAACTCCCTTCTTATTGCTGCTATGATACACCCCAAATTTCTACTCGTGTGGAACGAGGGGGCATGTCCAGCGTCGTTTATAGACCATACAGGGTCCTTAGACAATTCAGAATGGATCAGGGCGTCCCATATGTCCCTCCGCCTCAGACTAATTTCCACCAGAGCTTTTAGTGGTTTGCCCGTGATTATACCGCTCTACTTGTGGAGGGCTTAGGCTTTATGGAGCTTCCCTCACTTGGGATAGAGGGTGCCTTTACTCCCAGTAACAGGCTGTTCTGACACCACAACCTTAATTCTTTCTTCAACTTTTGCAACAGTGCTCTCATTCTCCCTGCGATGGAACTCATTTCGTAGCTTGACTTATCCCTTCGTCTACCCTTTGGTTGAGGGAAACAGACCAGTATATTCTGCCGCTTCAAGCTTTTATCCCTGCCTATCGTGGAAGAGCCTCATCCATCTGGGGCAATGTCCATTCAACCTTTGCAAATTGCTCCCCCTCAAGTTGGTGCAACAGTACGCATGACCCGTTTCCAGACTGAGGGCAGCCCAAGAGACAGCGACATCAGTCGCTAAGGTATATGCCTCACCAAGTAGGAAGAGACTCAAAAGGGTATTCATACTTAGAAAGTATTTTGTATTACTTCCTAGGGTTTCTTAAATTTACTTTAGTAATCACATAATCTTCTTCATTTTTAGGCCCATTGACCATACCACCTTCGGGCCCCGGAGGTTCTTCTACTGCCATCGGCATTTCCTCATATTCAGACGACGACGATGACCTTCCCATTGCTACAAGGGTCATAAGATTCAGAACCCACAGGACGGTACTTCCAAATGTTGAAAAGGAACCAAGTGTTAGAACTGCACCAACTACTGAGGTTGAGCTAGTTGTGGAGGTTGTAGAAAATGAACAAGTTCTCCCTACTGTGAAAGTTACTACAGGTGGTCTAGTTGTTGAGGGTGTAGAGCCCCCAAACCTCGCTGATTCTGTGTAGTCCGACCGTTCCTCTATCAGCGGAGATGATTTTGTCCCTGAAACCCCAAGGAAAGATTGTGGCATGAGAAAGCTATTAGAAGTTACACCACCTCCCTTTGAAGCTGTATCTGGTGGTTCCTTCCAGTCCACTGAGTCTCCATTGGTTCAATAGACCCCACTTCCAAATGTCCAAGTGGCTGAGGGGAGCTCAAGTGTAGCGGTTGCTTTCACCGTTCTTGTTGTGGCCTCTCTACATTTAGACCGACTTGCAGAGGTAGCTATCACTTTAGCCACCCACACTGTTATTGTTGTCGCTGGGATCTCTTACCTAGTTGCTTCGGCAATCTCTGAACAACTGGCAGGCTTGTACCCCACTCACTTTTCGAAAGTGTCAGCTGACCTTGGGATGTCCCAAGATTTTTATACTGGGATGGATACCACTGTTGTACCAGATCTGAACGTTGGAGACTACCAGATAGATGACCTCTTTTCAGAGCGACATGATGGTGCAAGCAGCTTTGGTCATTCTCGCGAGGCCAGTTCACCCAGTCGCCATCCAGTATCTACCCACTATAATGTTGCTGGGCAATCATCTTTAGGGGAAGTGCGCCGCCCTCAAACTTTTGGTCGCTCTACCAGTCTCCCTCCAGTGATTGAAGCTGGCGGCGGTGTGAGAGAGTCCCCTTAGTCCTCAGAGAAAGTTTCTTTTCTCAGTTATTGGGTCTCCTCCGAAGCTGCTCCCACACTCGCCCGTATCTAGGCGCTGCACCCCAGTACCTCTGCTGCTTTTAATGTTCATGGATTTATGGTGCAGATGGCGTTGCTAGAGTCACTTGCTTGCTTCATTCGTGACTTCGCTACCAAGAAGATTCTGACAACCCCGAGCAAGTTCGTGAAAAGTGTTAAGGCCAACCTGAGCGGCTTTGAGAGGAATGGTTTGGATCTATCGTCGATGAGGGATGGGCTTCAGGCAGTCAATGGTTTCCTTGAGCATGCAGACAATGTGGCGATGATTGCATCCTTGGAGGAGACTATCAAGGAGTATGAGGGTGCCTTGGAGCAGCATCAGCAGAACCTGGCTCGGTTCAAAGAGAAAGACTCTGCGTTGGTTGCCCAGCTGTCTCGATATGTGACCCTGATGGACTCCCTTTTGAAGGGTTTGATTTGATGTGCCTGTGACTTTGTTATGATTTCCTCCATTTTATTTTCTTTATTTTGTTGTTTCATTACGCTTACGGTGCCTTTTCTTTTCTTCTTCTTTGTCACAACTTCTTTTCAAACATTGTAATCATGTTCTGGAAGTTTGACTTTAATGAAAAGTGTGGATGGTTTGTAGTACTTTGAATTTCATTTCTTTGCCCTCCTTACATTGCTTTTATATAGTTTCTAAAGATAAGCAAAACTCTTGCAGTGAACAAAACTTCATCATGACTAAGTTTTTACAAGGATAAAATTTCACTAAGTATGGAAAACTTTCCTCACACTAAGGGTATATGAGAGTAATAGGTTTACTAAGTGTATGACACTTTCTTTACACTTTTCTTTGGAAGTATTAACAAATAAACTTACAACTCTTTTTCCTGGACAAAAGAAATTAAGGAAAATATTCTTTGACATACTTGGCATTGATAAGGCCAGTTCTGAACCCATCATCTACTCTTGTCAACTTGTCGTACCCTCTGTTGCTTGCCTCAGCAACTTTGTAGGGGCCTTCCCATCTGGGTGAGAACTTGGGAATTGGGTGCCCCCGCATGATTGCGTCCACTATCTTCCATACTAAGTCTCATTTATTGAACTTCCTGTGTTGAATAGATTGATTGTAGGCACGAGCTATGGATTAATGATACTTTTCCATTGCCCGCGAGGCCCGATCTCTTCTTTCTTCAGCTGCCTCTATGTTATTCTTCCTGTTGTCTAGAACTAAGTGTGCTAACATAGCCATTCTTGCTAAGGGTACTGCTAACTCAACTGGTAACACAACTTCGAACCCGTATACTAGGGAAAATGGGCTACCTGATGGCTTCCTCTTTGATGTTCTATACGCCCAGAGTACTATGGGAAGTTGTTCAGACCATGTGCCCCTTGTTTCATCCATCGTTTTACTCAATATTCGGATGAGGGTTTTGTTGGTTGCCTCAGCTTGTCCGTTCTGTTGGGGGTAGTATGGACTAGACTTGTGGTGCTTGATTTGGTAGGCGTCCAACAGTCTTCCCATATGGTGATTTACAAAGGGAGTTCCACTGTCAGACAGTGTTACTTTGGGTATGCCAAACCTACAGATTATGTTTTCTTTGATAAAGTTGGCTACTCCTGCCCTGTCTACCTTCCTCATCGATATAGCCTCTACCCACTTGGTGCTAACTTCAGTCGCTGTAAGTATCCATCTGTAGCCTTTGGATTGCTACGTTATAGGACCTACCAGGTCAAATGTCCAAGTATGAAATGGGTAAGTGGTCTTGATGTTGTACAACTTAACCGCCGGTGCATGTATCAAGTTCCCAAACTTCTAGCAGGATTGGCATCTCCTCACAAAGTTTTTAGCATCTTCTTCCATTGTCGGCCAGTAGTAGCCAAGGTGAATAAGGTGTCCATATAATCGTTGCCCTTCTTGATACTCTGTCTTGTGGACTTTCTTCAACACCTCATTTGCCTCATCTTTTGATAAACACGCCAAAGGTTTCCCTTCGAAACCTCTTCAGTACAACTTGCCTTGGTCAATGAAGAAGCGAAGGGCCCGCCTTTTAACTCTAATTACATCGGCTTTGTTCTCAGGCAATGTGCCATTTCCAAGGTAGTCAATATATGGCTGCCTCCATTCTTCATTGCTTAAGAAATGGGCTTCCTCTTCCTTAGGATGGGACTGACACTTGGCACATTGCCTCTGTAACTCAATACTTTCTTTTTCCATCTCTGGCCAGTAGTACCCTTGCCTCTGTATCCGTTGGTATAGACTAATATCTCTATCTCCACAAGACTTAGCATGAATCTACTTAAGTCTGTAAGGTGCTTCTTGTCTACCGACGCACCTTGCTAGCAGGTTGTTGGGACCATGAAAATATAACATTCCTCTGAGGAGCAGAAATGATAGAAGTTCTACCAGTCTGATTGCTCCCTAGCCTATTTTCAACTACTGGATTATCTTTGCTTTCCATCCCCCAGCATCTTGCTCTGTATGTTATTCGGTTAACACTATTGGTGTTGTTCTTTTCTTGATGATGATGGCTATACTATCATTTGGTACATCCACCTTTGCCCCTAGTGTAGCCAAGGTATCGGGGACACAGTTATGTGTTCGAGGGGTATGCTGGATTTGGACATCATCAAATTGAGTGAGCAACCTTTGAACCACAGTGCAATATGGGGCCAACAGAGGCTCCTTTAAGGCGAAATCACCCATTGTTTGCTTGACAACTAGCTTGGAGTCGCCCCAAATTTTTGACTTGTGAATGCCCTTTTTTTGGGTAGCAATTAGACCTAGTATCAACACCTCATATTTAGCCTCGTTGTTTGAACATTCGAAGTCAAGCTTATATGATAGATGAAACTTCTCTCCTGTTTGACTGGTTAGTGTTATGCCAAATCCACCTTTTCCAGCTCCGGAAGCTCCATCAAATTTTAAGTCCCAATAAGACTCAATTGCAACTACTGAGACATAGATCTCACCTGGTAGGGGTACCTCTACATGTTCATGTTCACCAGATGGGAATTGGGCTAGTAAGTCTGCAAGTGCTTGGATCTTAATTGCCTTCGGAGTAACACAAGTGATGTTATATTCTGCTAGAACCAAGAGCCATCTTGCCATTCTTCCAGTCAGAGTGACTTGCTCAGCAAGTAGCAGACTGGATCACTCCAGGTCATAAGCTGGACCTAATGTGCCAAAAAATAATGGCGCAACTTTTGCGCTATAAAGATTAAGGCTAAACAATGCCTCTCAACTGGGGTATTTAGCGACTCGATACCATTGTCTTTGCGACTGATGTAATAGACTGGCTTCTCAATGCCATCTATGTCTTAGACAAGTAGAGCTCTAATAGACCGAGGTGTAGAGGTCAGGTACAATAGCAGAGGCTTTTCGGGTTGTAGGGCAATCATTGTAAGTGGAGAGGTAAGTGCTTTCTTCACCATTTCAAATGTCTATTGGTGTTTTTGCAACCATTCAAACTTGTGATTCCCTTCAGCAGTGTCCCAAAGGAAAAGGTTATCTCAGCAAGGGCTGGAATGACCCTCCTGAGGTATGACACTTTGCCTAAGAATTTCTTCAAGGCCTTTTGAGAGTGTGGTGGTGGCATCTCCATGATTGACTTGATCTTATCCCCATCTACTTCAATCCCCCGCTGGTGTACAAGAAAGCCAAGGAACTTGCTGGTAGTAACTTCGAAGGCACACTCGAGAGGGTTCATCTTTAGGCAGAATTTGCAGCAATGCTAAAAAACCTTTTCCAAGTCGTAGAGGTGTCGGTTTGCCTTAGTAGACTTGACCACCGGATCAGCCACATATACTTCTACTTCCTGATGTAACATGTCATGGAACACTGCAGTCATAGCCTGTTGGTAGGTTGCCCTCGCGTTTTTCAAACCGAAGGGCATCACCGTATAGAAAAAATTTCCCAAGGGCATTCTGAAACTGTCTTTTCTGCATCTTCTAGTGTCATTTTGATCTGGTTATAACCACTAAACCCATCCATGAAGGAGAACATCTGATGGCCTGCAATAGAATCAACAAGTGTGTCCACATGGGGTAATGGAAACTCATCTTTCGGGCAAGCCTTATTCAGGTCACGAAAGTCTACGCAGATCCTGATCTGGCCATTCTTCTTCTGTACAGGCACAATATTTGCTAGCCAAGTTGGGTATTGTACAGGCCCAATGAACTTGGCCCTCTGTAACTTTTCTACGTCTGCCTTAATCTTTGCTTCAAGATCAGGGTGATACTTTCGAGCATGTTGCTTGATTGGTTTAGAGTTGGGAAAAGTATCCAGATGATGAGTGACAAGGGATGGGTCAAGACCAGGCATCTCATCATATGTCTAAGTAAAGACGTCACTGTATTGCTTTAGTAGTGTTATCAATTCTGCCTTAGCTACTGGAGCCATTGTATCACTGATAAACATAGGCTTGCTTTGTCTTGGTAAGTCACTAAGGTTGATCTCAGCAAGTACCTCCTGCTGCGGTTTGGGTCTATCTTGCATGCATTCAGGGGTGGGCTCAAGCGTCTCTACCAACCTTTCTTGGGACCCATCACCTTCACATTTATTCGTCTCGGGCCATCCTCCCAAGAGATGAAGCCTGGCCCCCAAGACTGTCATAGGTAGTAAACTGTCTTACCGCCCTCGCACATCTTAACAATCTTGGGCGGAGGACTTGTGGACTTGCTGCTCCTCTTCTGCCCACTACTATTTGGAGCAGCCATTGCATCTCGAATGTCTTCCCACTTCAACAATTTTACCCCTGCAATTTTACTAATCCTTAGAGTTTCATTCGTTGACAACTCAGTAAAGAAAACTGCATCCGAATAGTGTGCCTCCTCCACTCCAAATGGCCTTTCAGACGCATTTATGGTTACTATGCGCTTTCCCAACTTTGCCTTTACGCATTGGTGATAACTCAATGGAATAGCTCCATATCTGTGTATCCAAGCTCTGCCAAGTATCATGTGGTAATTTGTATCCGCTTCAATCACATGGAACTTAGTGGCAGAGTGGATCCCACCAACTACTAAGTCCACTACAATATGGCCCCTAGTAACCTTCTTCTCACCACCAAATCCCGTTATAGTGATGGGTTTGCGAACCATCTTGGACTCTGGGATACCAGCCTTTGCAAATGTGTCAATAGTGATGATGTTTATGGACACCCCACCATCAAGGAAAGCACGCTTGAACTCTACATCATTGATGTAAGCTGTGACAAAAAGAGAACGGTTATAAGGGAATGGGTATGCTCTATCTGTTTCTGAAAACGTAATGGCCCCATAATCTTCTTGGATGCGCCAAGGAACATACTCCTTAGCCTTAGCAACTTCATCATGGTGCACTTTGGAGATGTTAATGAGGGTCTTTGTTGCTTCCAACCTTGCGGCTTAGCTCAGCCCCAGCTGGTCAAAGAAGGTGCAGAACTTAACAGAGTTTTGCTAGGCCTGAGCATAAGTATCATCTGCGAATTTTGCCTCTGTAGGTACTATTTCAGGGAGCTGGCCGCTAGTGATTTCTTCTAACTCATGATAGTAGGACGCCATGTGCACTTGATCGCGCACGGGCCCAAGGTACCCAATCATAAGTACATTCTTCCCATTCTCTTTGTGATTAGGATAGGGTCCTTCCTTACATTGCGATTATCGGCATCTTTGAACTTCAGCTCATTTGCGTCAACTTTCTTCTTGAAGATACTTTTCAAAGTCCAACAGTCCCTAGTAGGGTGTCTGGTGGTTTTGTGATAGACACAATAATCTGGGCTTTCTTTGTCCTTCTTGGTTGGAGGGACATCAACCAGAGGCAAAGTAAGTTCACCATCAGCTACCCATTCTTTAACTGAGGCCTTAACATTTTCAAGGCTACAAGGATATGGATTTATGTCCTTATAACTCTTTCTCTTCCGAGAGGACGACGCCTCCCCCTGCAAGCGGCTCCCTCCAATAGAGTTTACAACAGTAACTCTGCTACTGCAGGAGTAGTGGTTGCTGTCAAGAGATCTATACAAAAGACTAGTGGTACTGAGGTTTCTAGCTGCCTCAGTCAAGGTTGAAAATGTAAGCAAATTATGGTTCACCAAGAAAATTTTGCAGTCGCGTATGGCACCCTCCACATATATGCTGACTAAGTGAGCCTCATCCGCTGGTTCATGACAGTCAATAACCTTATCTTGGAACCGCTTAACATAGTCCAATATATCTCCGCCTTGTTTTTGGACATCTCACCCAAGTGTGAGGGTTGTAACTTTCTCTTGGACTTAGAAGAACTTCGTGTGGAACTTGTTCACCATCTCCTCCCAACTCTTGATCGAGTTGGGAGCCAAGTTCACATACCAGTTGTAAGCCTTTTCAGTAAGTGATTTGGAGAACTCTCGAAGGCGCAGAGAGTGGTCACTGCCATGGACACCAAGAGTTTCAATGAACCTCACCACATGTTCTCCTGCATTGCCTTGTTTCCCATCAAACTTAATAAACTTGGGCACTCTATACCTAGTTGGGTATGGCAAGGTCAATATCTCCTGAGAGTATGAGGGCTTCACATCTAGGTCGGGGAGAGATGGTAGTTGCTTCTTGCTACGCTCTTACTCAAGCATAGCTTGTACAACGGCTAAAGTAACGAAGTGAGTGGGCTAGAATGGTCTAATCTGCTCCTGGGTAGCTGAACCAACAGCTGTAACGTTCGCCTGGGGTACCACCAGAGGCACTTGAATCGGAGCCTGATTCCCAGGGAACAGATTAGGCACTTGTTTGGTACTGCTACAAGCGGAGGTGCTTGTACTGGAGCTGATCTAGAAGCCATGGCCATAATAACCTCAGTGAGAGTTTGCAAAGCTACCAGGATCTCCTTCTGCGTATCCTGGAGTGACTAAACCACCTCAATCACAACATTGTGGTCACGGTCCTCCGTATGTGCTGCTCCACCATTGGAAGAGCCTTGCTGTCGTAGGGATTGCTGAACTTCATCCTTTGCCATTTTTTTTCTAGTGAAATTAGTAAGTCACTGCGGGTATGAACCATCAACAAAGCAGCCTCCCCAGCAGAGTCGCCAGAAATGTAGGGGGTTCGAGGTTAGGAAGGTGATTAGAGAGACAAAACTATGTTAATGGTCCAATAATGGTCGAAGTGGCTGGAGAATGAGTAACAGCAACTATCTGGGAGTTAGAGAGTGTGTAGCTGGGTGAGGGTGAAGCAAATGACTCACGAAGAAATGTATGGCAGTACCAAAATGGGCAGCATCTCTCCCAAATTTCCAAAATTTCTCTTCTTGAACCTTGGGAAATGGGTCCTATTTATAGACTTTTCCTTGGTACCAAGAGGACACCAAATGGCCAAATAGAGAGAGGACATGTGTCATAGAGGATCACATGGAATATTCTTCCTTGAGCCACCAAGCTGAAGGTGCCACATGTCCTTTTGCATGTACTGTGTATCATCTGTTTGCCTTTGCAACTACTTTTTTGAGCCTTAGCACGTGTAGTTGTAACGGGATTGTTTGGCGCTGCAACTCCCTTTTGAGCCTCAGCAAGTGCAGTTACAACGGGAGTGTTTGCCTCTGCACTTGCCTTCTCAGCCTGAACCTAAGCAAATGCACTTGTAGCGGTGAACCTTGCCGTTGTACTTGCCTTCTCAATTCTATTTGACCAGTACATGCATTCTTAGGGCTTCATTAGCCTGCTATCGGCTATGTTTGTGTTCACGTCAGTGAAGCCTCCACTTTTAGCCACATAACCACAAACTCCCTAGCTTCCCAGTGTGAAGGCCATAGCCAAACCTGTTATCATGCTCCCATCTTCGCGGGATCGTCGCGGTAAACTAGTATTTATAGGCCTTCTATCAACTCCAACCAGTAAGTCTTGGGGCTTGCAATCAGCACCAAGTTAAATGAACTTTGGAGAGGGGGCCTGCTATCAGCCCTAGGCTAGTAATGCCTTGGGGCTGTAGACACCCCATTTTTGACCGTCCTCGCAAAGCAGTCCATGTTTGGCACTACTTTTTCAAAAATCTGTTTCTCAAAACGATTTGCCAGATTTGGACTCTTTGGTTCAGATTAAGAACCGTGACACAAATCGAGTCCGAACTGTAGCACGAGGCCCACGCGGGCGCCTGTTACAGGGG